TTTGCTAGTGAAGAACAAGCTAGGTTTCATAGATGGCTCAATGCGACGTAAAGATTACAGAGGAGATCTGGTGAAACAGTGGGATCGCTGTAATGCAATGATGATTTCGTGGCTTACCAACAATGTAAGTGCAAATTTCTCAGCGGAATTCTCTATAGTTCAAATGCATTTCGTGTCTGGAATAATCTTCAAGAGAGATTTGACAAAGTTAACTTGAGGAGAATCTATCATTTCTTCGAGCAATTTGTACACTAACACAAGGTGTTTCACCTATTTCTATTTACTACTCAAAAATGAAAGACCTTTGGGATGAAATAGATTCAATTGTTGCTTTTCCTTCTTGTAATTGTGATGAATCTAAGGAGTATGTGGTTCATCTGTGCAATCAGAGGTTACTGCAGTTCCTAATGGGACTTATGACTCCTATAGTCAAGCAAGGAGTCAAATCCTTATTATGATACCAATGCCTAGTGTAAATCAAGCATATGTTATGCTAGTGCAAGATGACAGTCAGAAAGCTACTTTTGGAATGCTAAATTTGGGAGGAAATGGCATTGAACCAACAACCTTATTCACAACAAAAGGAGGCACATGAGTGGGACATAGGAATAGGAAAAATTACAAAATGTATTGTGACTATTGTAACATAAAAGGACATAACAGGGAAAATTGCTTCAAGCCGATGAAATGTGAGGTTTGTCAGATCAAAGGCCACAAGAAAGAGAACTGTTATAAGGTGATAGGATACACAGCTGATTTCAAAGGGAAAAGGAAGGTCAACTTGGTGAATGCAGGGAGAGATTATGGTCAGCAGTCAGCGGGTCATATGAATACACAGTAGCACTATTCTTCACTAAGGAACAATACAGTCAAATCTTAACCGTGTTAAAGAAGGCAAACATGCCTGATGCAAGTGTAAATTTGGCAAGTAAACCTTTATTTTCTACATTAATTAACTTGAAATGTATTGTGGATTCCGGGGCAACTAACCACATGGTTGGTGATAAATCCATGTTGAACATTGGTGTATCAGTCACAAATCCTGCAGTTGCAAATCTAGACAGGTGCAACTTCCAACTGGTGAATCAGCAGGTGTCTCTCAGATTGGAAATTTCTCATTGACAGGAGGTGAAGTCCTCAAATATGTGTTGTGTATGCCAGCTTTTAAGTTCAATTTCATGTCTGTATCAAAAGTAACAAGAGATTTGAACTATTACATCACATTTTTTCCTGATTTTTGTGTGTTTTGAGATCTTTTCAGTGGGAGGGTGAAGGAGATTGGTAGAGAGAAAGATGGGTTGTATGTTCTGTGTTCACAAAATAAGACAGTTCAATTTGAAGATATGAAGTCTATAGCAGTAATAGGCAATATACCTGCATAACTTTGGCATAAGAGAATGGGTCATGTTCCCATGTTTGTTCTTAGGAAATTCACTACTTTTGAGAATATTGATAAGTTTTGTATTACTCAGTGTGAAACATGTCTATTAGCAAGACAAACAAGAGTTCCATTTCCAATTAGTAGTAGCAAGACAGATAGTATGTTTGCTCTCTTACATATGGATGTATGGGGCCCTTATAAGGTGCCAACACATAATGGAATGAGGTGTTTTCTAACATTAGTTGATGATTACTCTAGATGGAATTGGTTTTATTTTTTTCATCTTAAATCTGATGTTGTAGTTTTATTTAAGGATTTTATTGTGATGGTGGCTACTCAATTTGGTCAGAAAATTAAGGTATTCAGATATGACAATTGCTCAAAATTCTTCAACTCCAATTGTAGTGATTTGTTCAAAACTAATGGGATTGTTCATCAAAGCTCTTGCCCTTACACTCCACAACAAAATGGAGTGCTTAAGAGAAGGCACAGACATATATTAGAGACAGCTAGAGCAATAAGAATTCAGGGACACTTACCTATTAGATTTTGGGGTGAATGCATCATTGGTGTTGTGTACATTATTAATAGGCTGCTATATGTAGTCCTGAACAACAAGTCCCTTATGAGTTTGTCTATGGGAAAGCACCTTCTTTGTTGCACGTGAGAGTTATAGGATGTCTCTGCTATGTCACAGATGTCAGAAAGAAAGATAAATTTGCCCCAAGGGAAATCAAATCTATTTTACTAGGATATGTTGAAAATCAAAAGGGGTATAAGTTGTATGATTTAACTAACATATCTTATTTTCTTAGTAGAGATGTCACAATTCATGAGAACATCTACCCTTTTCAACATATGAGTCCTCCTATTAATTTGTTTGATAGTTCTCTGCATCACATACATACACCAACCCCCACACAGATTGTTTCTTCCAACCCAGACTGCTTGCTATTTCATTAAAGCCAGCCATCACCTGTGTAGAGAGAATCTGAGTTGGAGGTAGACAGGTTCATCACTGATCCCATTGAATAACAAGTACAACATCATGAAGTCTTGCCCATGGCTGAATCTCTTTCACCAGCTCAGGATATACATGTTCAGTCTTCAACTCCCATTTCTCAGGAGCCACTTGTTGATATTGAGCCCATACAGAATGCAGTCAGGCAATCAGGGAGAGCCAGCAAGCCTCCCATCTGGCTCAAGGACTATGTAACTCAAGTCAAGGGACAAAAAGGGGCAAACACATGCCTTTATCTTATTTCAGCAGTGGTCAGCTATGATCATCTGTCCAAGCCCTACCAGAACTTTGTGGCACATGTCTCCAGCATCATTGAGCCCAGATCATATCATAAGGCTGCCAAAGATAGCAAGTGGATATAAGCAATGAAAATTTAGAGTAGAAGAGCACAAGACTTGGGAGATTGTAGCACTACCTAAGGGGAAGAAGACCATAGGGAGTAAATGGGTTTACAAGATAAAGTATAAAGCAAATGGTGAAGCTGAAAGATTTAAATCAAGGTTAGTGGCCAAGGGCTATAATCAAAAGGAGGGAATTGATTACCAGAAAATATTCTCTCCTATTGTCAAAATGGTCAATGTTAGAGCAGTCGTTTCTTTTGCTGCATTGAAGGTTGGGCCTTACACCAAATGGACATCTACAATACCTTCTTGCAAGGTGATTTGCATGAGGAGGTATACATGGACCTTCCTCAAGGTTTCAGTTTTGAAGCTGGCAAACATCAAGTTTGCAGGTTACACAAGTCCCTCTATGGGCTTAGACGAGCATCCAGGCAATGGAACATCAAGTTGATCTCAGCATTGACTGCTTCTAGTTATGCACAGAGTCATTTGGACTATTCTTTGCTCACCAAAAAATCAGGTAACAAACTAGTGGTGATTCTGATTTATGTTGATGATCTCTTAATTACTGAAAATGATCTTGAGCTCATTAATGCCACAAAGGTTGTTCTGAGGAAAAATTTCAAGATCAAGGATCTAGGTGAGCTCAGGTATTTTTTGGGGATAAAATTTGCTAGAAGTAATGAAGGTATTCTGATGCATCAACGCAAATATTCTCTGGAATTAATCTCAGACATGGGGTTAGCAGGTGCTCGACCACTTGGTGCACTAGTGGAGTTGAATCAGAAGCTTACCAATAGTGAATTTGATGCCTATGTTGGTTCATCCTCTGATCCACCACTAGAGGATCCTAGCAGCTACCAAAGACTTATAGGTAGAATGCTTTACTTGACCATCACTAGGCCAGATATTGCTTTTGATGTGCAATGTCTGAGCCAATTTATTCATGCTCCTAAAGCCTCTCACATGGAAGAAGCCATCAGGGTAGTGAGATATGTCAAACAGGCTTCTGGCCTTGGTATCCTTATGTTATCTCACAACTCTCCTACTCTTCAGGCCTCTTGTGATGCAGATTGGGCCTCCTACCCCAACACCATAAACTCAATTACAGGATACTTGATCAAATTTGGAGACTTTCTCATATCTTGGAGATCCAAGAAGTAGGTAACCATTTCTAGAAACTCAGCTAAAGCTGAATATAACTGTGGTAGAGATTGTTTCGCTCATAGGTCTATACAAAGAATTGGGAGTTTCTTTACATTTGCCTATTCCTATGCATAGTGATAACAAGTCTGCCATACAGATTGCTGCTAATCTTGTATTCCACGAGCGGACTAAACATATAGACATTGATTGTCACTTCACTTAGAAGAAGATTCATCAAGGTCTAGTGGACACCCTCTATGTGCCATCATTAGAGCAACAGGTCGACGTTTTGACTAAGGACCTTCCTGTTGCTTAGCACTGTTATCTTCTATCCAAGCTAGGAATGAAGAATATCTTCATCTCTCCTAGCTTGAGGGGTTGTAAAGGAACTATATAGATGCACTATAGTGCACTAAGGTTGAGTTGTACACTAGTTGGGCCAGTTATTTATTATAGTGGGTTAATTTAGTCGGTTAGGAAGTTTTATATATTAATAGCTACAGTAGCTATTTAGATAACAAATTAATTCTGTAACTGCATGCTGATTAGATCAATCTAGAAGCTATTGATTTCTCCTTGCTCTGTCTTCATTCTTCTCTGCTCTTAATCTCTTTGATCATGGCTGAGAATTAGCCAATTTAACAATATCCCTTGAAAATCATACTATGTTCGTTTTCTTTGAGCATTTTAGTTTTCATTTTTATTAGCTTATAATTGATGCAGCGAGTAACACTTATAAATGGCATTTATGATATGTTCAAAGGTCAAATCTTGCTCTTTTTTTGTTTGATGTAGGTTGGGCATTTCTCTGAATTGTGGATGAGATTATTACTAGCTGATGTTTACAATCAATAAGCATGATCCAGAGTATAGAGAGAAACTTCCAAGACTATACCGTGGTGTGCATTTTTTCTTGGAACAGAGTAATTTTTAGTATCTGCTCCGACACATTTAAGAATTACCTCTTTATCTTTTATAGGAACTTTGTGAATAGATCATAAAACAAAATAGTGGAATCTCCCTAAAAGAGGCACTGATACCATTTGTCACAAATTTGTTATTAACTGGGAGTTCTCAAGTCACAAAGAAAACCTGGAAATAAAATGAAGAATGAAGGAAAATAAAGTTAATGGGAAAGTAAAGGGAGATTAACAGAAAGTTTGTTAATCAATAGAAGTCACCATCCATGCTCCAAAATTTGTTCATATTACATCTTATACAATGCATACAGAGCTCTGGAAAGATCACCTAATGCAAATGGCTGATATACTTGACCACGGATCCAAGATATGATCATATATCAAACACAATCTATATCTCTAGTTCTTGGATTCAGTAGCAGAAGCCATGGTTAATGGGCAAAAACCATGATCGAGACTAGCTTTCCATACTTTGTCAATATCAAACATCATGTTACCACACTCGTTCTCGTTCCAACCTTCCAAGGCGTGTAAAATTCCAGCTATTCTCCACGCACTCATCACTCTTCGTGGCAACCAGTTCTGGAATTATAATAAATTCAATCATGATCAATTTCTTTTACTATGATCTGTAAGACGATCAAGAAAAAACTAAAGAGAAATAATAAAGGATATTAGATAAGCATTTCTAACCTCACAAGAGTCTACATTTTCAAGATGTTTTGGAGTAATCATAGCTGGTGTGCTGAAGTAGAAGCAATCCTTTCGAGCTTTACTTGGTGGGAATTGTGAATAAGGAATGAATAATGTTCCTTTTGGTACTTTCAATTGTTCATCTTCACTCAATCCATCCCCTACTAGCCATGTCTGCAGCATAATCAAGAACCTCTTTTGATTGTCATGAATTGTCAAGATTCAGGACTGTATTCTTTTTGATGTATTTTGGTTTATACGTACCTTTGAAACATTATAAGATTTCGACAGGACCAACTTAGTTGCAGCCTCTGATGTTAACTTTGTTTTAAGTCTCTTGTACTCTTCTTCGTCTAACGTGACAACCTATATATAAAAAAAATACAACAATTAAGAGAAAGCAAACCAAATCGGGGAGGAGATTAATAGTCACATATACCTGAATTCCTCCTTGGCACAAGGCTAAGGCAATGGAGTAAGCAACTTTAGACAAACGGCCTCGAAGGACAACTTGGGAAGTTCCTTTAGGAATGGAATTTATGACCACAGCAACAGCTAGGCTACTTCCATCCACCACATTTACTTTCAGCTGAGGATTCCTTCTTATGTAAAGTTCACCACTATTATTCAGCTGCTCTTCCTGGAAAGTTACATTTATTTAGATGTGTTAACTAGTGCAACTGAGACTCTCTTTGGTTCAGCCAACAAACATTGGATATAGGGTGAGAGGAGAATTCTTTTCAATTCTTTTTCGCCCTAATATTAGTCAATGTTTGTGATAGCTAACAGACGTTTAAGAAGAATCATGTAATTCTCTCATATATTTTGACTTACCTGATTTAAGAGTCCAAGGCTCAGTACTTTTATGCCTTTCTGATCTGCTTCCATGATTGCTTCCTCGATCAAATTGTTAATAATCTCTCTTTGCCATTTCATAAAGTACTGCAACAAAATCAATAATCGGGATAAATAATCGCTTCAACAACGGATCCAAAATATGAAACAATCTTGAATAATACTACTACTTTACTTACTTGTATGCGATACTTTGGGATAGCCCAAGTTTGTAATTTGAGATTCTTGAACAAATTTCTCTCGACAATAAATGTGTGACCATAAATCCATGTGATCATTATCGACCATAGTGTGGCAGGCCACATTAACCAGAAATACCACTTAGAGGACTGAGGCTTCGAGGCCAACGATGCTAACCCTAGACGGAGATGGTAAATGGATTCAGGGGTTGTTAGATGTGTAAGGTGCACCACATCAGGCACTTCAGCTTCCCTTTCAAGTGACTTTTTATACAATGTATCTGATGACATGTCCAGTGTATCATAGATATAGTCATACATTGGCATGAAAAGAGAATAATTTGTCTTGAATTGAGTGTGATGTAGTGAGTGGTACCTGTGCCATCAACACAAATGATCTTAGTGGCAAAAGAACAAACAAAATCTTCACAAGTACAAAACTTCAATTAATTACCATTTTTGTAAGGTTATTAATTACTAGAGTAACACTTATCATAAAATTTTAGTTACAATTACCTTATATGTGATATGATTGTGTAAATATAATGCAGTAAATTA